ATAAATGATTTATGAATTATCTCCATTATTCAGTTTCGTTTAATAATTTTGATTCGCTACGTACCGAAAGCTTACACGTTATAAATGTAACATGAGATAATTTTCTCGTCAGTTTGACATGACATCGAACGAAAAATTGTCACCAAAAATACTCGTAGAGTAAAAAGCGAGCCGTACACAGCTTTTTTAAATTTCAGGAATACATATTTGTTGCCAAACAACATAACATTAAATTATTAATTTTACTGGATAATACAACTACATAAACTATAAATACTGTAATTGCGTAATTATTATAACAATATAGTAACAGATTAATTATAGTAAATAATAATTATATACGTAACTTACAAATGGCATAAATATTACAATTTATCTTAGATAGAAACAACCAACTAGGTGTTGTGCATATCTGTAACAGCAGAAGCTCACTGTACAATGCTTCAATATGTTAATTATATTTATTTTATTTTTAATGTTTTATGGTGTTGATATTATACTAAAAAGAAATATATGTACTTGTCTCCGGTAGTCTGTTGTATGGTTGTAGTTATTTTAAAATAATCTATTCGAAAGTCAGCCAATTGTGAACCAAGGAGTTTTATGGGTTTGTCCCACAGAAATCTAAATAATAAGACACCTTGCCTTATTATTTATTTAGATTTCTGACGTTTGTCCACATACAATTAAATTTTTTTCGTGTTAACGTTTTTTATTTTATAAAAAAAAAGTTATTTTCATATGTAATAATTGTACATATATCTCAGTATAAGTTTTAATATAATATGTACCAAGCAAAGTGGACACAATTTTTACGTAGGTATCAAATTTGTTGGCAACATGAATTAAATTGATCAAAAATTTGTTAACTTTAGTTCAATCACACAGTGATCTCAGATAATAATAAAATTATTGTAATCAACAGGATTTTTTTAAATTCAAACAACAGATAAAACTGGCTTATAACAACAACAGTTGTCTGGTGAGATTTAAATCATTATGTTATTTCAGGTGCCGTGTAGTGGCGACGTAAAAATATCTTCTACCCCACAGCCCTGGATCCCGTGGATGTCTTAAGAGGCGACAGACGAATTTATTCTGATTAATCCCTGCCGCCAAATTTCATGGATGCTTGGTCCACCACTGTATGTTTCACTAGAAGTTTTCTTCCTATCACGACCTGTCTGTGGAATAGTTTACCACCGGCGATTTTTTCGGACCAATACGACTTCAAGAAGAGAGCTTATACTCATTTCTAAAAGGCCGGCAACGCACCTACAATTCCCCTGGTGTTGCGGTTGTTCATAGGCGGCGGTAGTCACTTAGCATCAGGTGAGCCGCATGTCCGTTTGCCCTTTCTCCTATAAAAAAAAACAGTAGGTGATGTCAGCAATATCTGACAAGCGTAGCAAATGTTGTAAATATACCTTCTATGAAGAATGGTACAAGAAACGGCCCCGAGCTAATTTTGGTCACGGCGACCACCGCTGAACATCGAACCTCCCCTGAATAATATCACAAAGCGCGGTCCTGACATTCAAAGACTTTCGGCATATCTTATCAGGTCGTCACCTTAATATTGTAATTTTTTTAAGTTGCTTACTGGTTTTTTCACAAGACAGAGGTTATTTTCCGAACCAATAGTAAAGCTGAAATGACTTTCAATAAGTATTCTTATAATATTTTTAATGATTCAATTTTGTTCTAATAAGGACAGTATCTTACTAGAAAAAATTGAATCCTCATTCCGCTTGCCGGTACGAGGAGCTCAAGCTATATTCGATTTAGATCCATGCTGCATGTATATTGTGGTTGTAGAATAGAATAGAATAGAATATTTTTTATTCAATATAGATTACATCATGTAATTCTTATTGAAAGTCATTTTTTACTTTACTCGTACGTCGACTCGATCAAGGAAGAACTACACTCTTACAGAATACCAATTTAAAATACCAGATTAATGCTGCTGTATTTCATATGGTAAGTGTAGAGAACTGACTGAGTGTAGTGAATCTTTTTAATGAAAACGGGAGCGCAGTAATAACAGGTGTCCGCAGGGGTGACAACGCACTACATCTTGATTTTGAATAAACTACCACAGTGTTCTCCTTTTTTGACAAAAAAAGCTTAATGATATATACACTTGGCACTGACGAGAAAGTTTTTTTTTAAATAGAATAAGGGTGACAAACGCGCACACAGTTCACCTGATGGGAAGTGGATGCTGTGGCCCATGGACATCTTAATTTGTCCTCGATTGATTAGTAAAATGATTCTTGAAATCAAAATGCAGAACCGTTGTCGCCCCTGAGGACTAAAATGAATGCCTCGTTTCCAGTTAAAAAGGGTCTCCGGATCCCTACACTCACCATACGAAACGAAGCAGTATTAAGCTGCTATTTTACGCTGGTATTCTGTGAGAGCGTGGTGTGGTCCTTCCTCGGTGGAGCCGACCCATTCGTCAAACAACCATATCATAGCTGCAGCGTGGCTCTACCACGTATAAGAAGTTGTTCAGCATCTGGCATAGATAATACTTCTAATTAATTGTCTTAGATGCAAAATGTACTTAACATAAGTGGGTTGATACCTAAATAAATAAACTCTATTATTATTATTATTGGGGTATCTATATAATTTTCTCACCTGGTTGGGTTCTATAAATATATAATTATAAATAAAAATGATTTTTTATTTATTTTATAAATTAAAATATATAATTCTATAAATATATAATTATTATTTTTTGGGTTATTAATAGAGTAATCACATCTGGTTGGGCTGGATAAATATATAAAGGGAAAAATAAATATACTTAAATATATATTTAATATACTAACATAAATAAATAAATAATACATAAATAAATAAAAGCCCAACCAGATGAAAGCCCTCGGCAGGGGAGACCAAACGGCCGAGGGTTAAGGGGAAAGGGAAAGAAACCGGCGGACGATGCGGGCGGTATCGAGGAGCACCGCCTTCTGCATTTGAGCCCGGAGCGGTCCATCACGGGGTCCCAGTCGCCTCAGATGGCCCGAGAGGCTGGCTGGGATTAACCCGTTTGCAGACACGACTACAGGAATAATTTCGGTCGGCAGACCACCCCACATGTCGGTCACCTCGTGAGCCAGGTCCAGATATTTTGATTGCTTGTCTGTTTCGGCTTTCACGAGGTTCTCGTCATACGGAATGGTAATGTCGACCAAAAATATCCTTGACTGTGCCCGGTTCATCAGCACAATATCAGGCTTATTCGCAAGAATAGTCCTGTCTGTGATGACGGTCCGGTCTCAGTAGAGCCTGGCGCGGTCATTTTCGAGCACGGCTTCCGGCAAGTACCTGTAATACGGCAATTTTCGGTCCACGAGACCGTATTTCAGAAACGTAGCCAGTTGAGGGAGGCGGCTGTATCTCCGTGAGGCTCATGTAGAGCCCTGTAGTACCTCCCGTGGAGCTCCTTCTCCTTCCATACGGTCTCCCGGTCGAAACCCGCTCCCTTGCTAAGATAGGTAAGTCCTTTATCACTAGAAATGACGTCATTATAGAATGGATCATCCGATCTCGCCAGGAAGTAATGACGGAGGCTGCACACTTCGCGATTATGCATGGTGAGCGCGCTCAGGAAGCCACGCCCACCATGCTTTCGCGGCAAGTACAGCCTCATTACCGACGATCTCGGATGATGCATCCTATGGTAGTCGGACTTTTCTATCCAGCGTTAAGTTCAGTCTGACTCCACCTGAGTATGCCAAAGGTATACATGAGGGCAGGCATGACCCAACCGTTATAAGCATGTGTCTTATTCACACCGAAAAAAAAGGCTGTTAAGCACTTTGGTCAAGCGTGCATAAAACACGTCGCAAACTGACTGTTTTATACCAGCCTCATCGATACCGATGTTCTGTGACATACCCAGGTATCGGTATGTTTCAGCCTCGGAAAGGGCCCTTAAGTTGACGGGCATAGATAAGTCTATGCCCTCAAAGTTAGCAACCCTTCCCCTTTCAACATGGAGGACCGCACACTTATCCGTCCCCAGCTCCATTCTAATAGAATTGCTAAATTCACAAGTGATGTTTAGCAATTCCATAAGATGGGAGCAACTGGAGGCGAATAATTTGAGGTCATCCATATAGAAAAGGTGGGTCACTATTGTACCTCCTTTCCGAAGCTGAAATCCCCTCCCGAAGCCCTCCAGTAAAGTAATGAGAGGGTTCAAAGAGAGGCAGAACCAGATTGGACTCAGACAGTCGCCCTGGAATATACGCCTTCTTATCCTTATGCGGCTTTCCGCAGCCGTCATCCGCTCGCCTAGATGACAGAGGATCGTACTCCACTGCCCCATACACTGCTCGAGGAAGTCTCGAACTGTACAGTCAATCTTGTACATCTCGAGGACCCTCTTTAGCCATGTATGGGGCACCGAGTCAAATGCCTTTCTGTAATCTATCCAGGCGGCGGAGAAGTTCCGACGGTTGCGTTTCACCACTTTGCCAATGACCGCGTCAATAAGGAGTGGTTCCTTAGTTCCACGACCGCCGCCCCGACATCCATTTTGAGCGCGCGACATCACCTGATTTGAGTCCAGGTGACGAGCGATTCTCGCGCTCAAAACGTATGTTAGTGTCTTGTATATGGTCGGTAGACACGTGATGGGGCGGTATTTGCTCGGGTCTGTGGCACCCTGATCTTTAGGAACCAAATGAGTGATCCCAGTAGTGAAGAGGCTTGGGAGCGACTTCTGGTTGAGAGCCTCTTGAAACTGTCGGGCGAGCACAGCGTGACACACCATGAACCCCTTCAGCCAGTAGTGACGCAGCCCGTCAAGCCCCAGACTTTTCCAGTTCGGGGCCCTACGGACCGCCTCAGCTACGTCATCCGGCGTTATGATGACTCGCCACAACTTCCGTCCAAGGGTCCTCGTTGTGGGTTACGGGCTCTGACCACAAGCTGCGCCAGAATGCGACCGTGTCGGCCTGTTTTGGTGCTGGGCCCGTTTAACTTACTATTGGTCGCTCCAATGATTTATAGAGCCTCTTCTGATCACTCTGCAAGAGACGATTCTGGTTGAACCGTGTCGACCTCTCGGTATATTGCCGAATCCGCTTTCCCCAAGCAGCGATTCTTTGCTTCAGGTCGTCTATGCACTCCGTCAGTTTTTGCATTATATCCGGCTGGGACAAACTAACATTTGTCCCAGCAAACGCCATCCTGATGGTGCGCACAATCCTTGGCCTGGTATTGCCTGACCTGAAGCATATCAGTCTGCCGATGAGGGCCCTAGCCTTTGCGATACGTTCTTCAATTCTTATTCTCCAGGCTGGGATAGCACTACTTTGTCCAGTAGCGCGTCCAGCCGTGGAAAGTTTGGCGCCTATAATACGGCAGACTGCCAGTGCGGCGCCAAAAAGAATTGAGTCCGTCTCGCAAAGGTCCCGGCTGGCTTCCAAATAGGTAACCAGCATTGTGTTCAGAGCACTCACGACAGCCCGATTCCGCTTGCTTAGGGCTAAGCGGGGAAGTCGCGGTCGATTTTCGAGAGGCGTACTGCGCGTTTCCACAATCGCCTCTTCCAATGTACTCCTCATTTGCTCTAGTTCCAGTTCCTGGGCGACTGTTCCATCATCGTCTGAATCAACCACAACTGGCGTGTTCACGGCGGCATCCACATTTGCCGTTTGCTCAGCAAGTTGTGGCGCCGCATCCTCAGCCGCAGCATTTTCACCCGATGAAGGAACAGCCTCACGTTGTAGCCGTTCGAGTTCGGTAACATCAAATGTATTTGAGCGCAAGATATACCGAACTCGGTCTGCCAGGTTTTGCTCGGTGACGGTTACAGATGGCTCCAGCTCAGCAAAAAGTCGATGCATCCTTGCCCGATGCGCAAAACCTCCAGTTTCTCCCCCTTTCGCCCTAAAATACGCCCGCAATGCGTTGCTGTTCATCTGGGTTATCCAACGCATGCGGCGTACTCCACCAGAGGCGGGTGCCGATTGCTGGGCCCGCGAAGACCCTGCCGACACCAAGCCAGCCTGGTGGGGATGACGGATGCGAGGGGCTGCTGGGTGGTCGTGCAGCACCTCGCGCTCGGCTGGCGGTTCGCAAGCTGTCGCGTCCAGCGCCAGCTCCAGACGCGCCCTGGCTACCTCCAGGCAGCGGCCCTTTGCGCGTTCTATTTAATTCCATCATCCATTTTTAGGGCGTCATTTAGCGGGAGACGCCCAGACCCGGCGCCGTTTCATGGTGAGGGCATGTGCACAAACGGGCCTTTGCACCTTCAATTTTTGCCGAGGCACGGCACTAACACCTCTTGGCAAGGTGCTGACTGACTGCGCTGATGTAGCGGTTTTGTCACATAACCGTTACGTCAGCGGGCGATGGGGTCGTCACTTCCCTACGGCTTTTAATTATTATTATTATTATTGTGGGTTATCCATTAACGCCTCTTTTAGGGTTTTAAGATGTGGCATCGGCTGATCGCAAGATGCCGATCTTTTGTTTAAATTGTGAGGTGGCGACGTACTATCGCTGTCGTATCCAAAATTACGGCTTTTTGAATTTTGTTCCTCACCCTCACTGAAATGCCCATCTTAGCTAAATTGTCAGTAAGGGATTTAGGAACAACTCCTGTGGTAGAGAGAATCAGCGGGACGATAAGTACCTGCAGCTGTCGCCTTAACTGTCGGATTTCTTCAGCTAACCGCTTGTACTTAGTCAATTTTTCAGTGCTGTACTTCTGCACATTATGCGAGTTTGGAATGCCAATATCCAACAACCACTTCCGCTTCTCCTCCTTTTCTACTAATATTATGTCCCGTCGATTATGCTCAACGGTCCGGTCAGTTAAAACTGACCTATCCTAATAAAGTTGGGCAGAATCATTCTCGAGTACCGGGGATGGATTGTATTTCCAGTAGGGTTCTGTCTCCTTAAGGAGACCGTATTTTACTGCCAGCTCTTAGTGCACAATTTTTGCCACGTTGTCATGGCGCTGGGTGTACTCGGTTCCAGCAAGAGCCTGGCAGCCGCCAGTTATGTGCTGGATGGTCTCTGGCTTTTGATGACACCGTCGGCACTGGTCATCTTCGATACCTGTCTTGACAATGTACTTAAGATAATTTTTCGTAGGCACAACCTGATCCTGAATCGCCACCATAAATCCCTCAGTTTCAGCAAAGATCTCACCATGTCTGAGCCAGTTGTTCGACGCTTCAATGTCGACATGTGGTTGACTCAGTTCATTAGCGAATCGACCGTGAAGAGGTTTTGAGGCCCATTGCTGGAGTTTGGCTTCTTTGTATTCAGTGTCAGTCTCTAACGGTGGGAAATTGTCGGCATGAAGGAGATCGTGCGTTGTTAGACGGTCATTAGCCTTTATTACTGCTTGATGCAGGGGATAGGACGTTATTATTATTATTTTGGGGTATCTATATAGTTTTCTCATCTGGTTGGGTTCTATAAATACATAATTATAAATGAAAATGAAAAGATAAATATACATAAATATCAATAACATAAAATAAATATAAAAATACATAAATAAATAAAAGCCCAACCAGATGGAGGCCTATTATTATTTGGGGTATCTATATATTTTTCTCACCTGGTTGGGTTCTATAAATTTATAATTATAAATTAAAATGAAAAGATAAATGTACATAAATATCAATAAATTAGTATTATTATTTTTATTATTATAGGCACAGAAATAGTAATAATATTGCGATTTCTGTGGTCATAGGCCTAAGCCTCTGTCTGATATGTTCTGTTCTGCGTGTTTTAAGCTCTTGGCTTTGAAATCATAGTACATTGTCGCTATATGTTTACTTATTCAGTTTCTATTTGAAACTAATTATACACTAATCTGCGATTAAAACTGTTTGCTCCTGATATCACTTTTCACTCCTGATGTCCTCGCACGCAATTGGAGGAGGGCGGGAGATGCTCTTCAGACAAGAACTCCCAAGTCCCAAATATACTGACACCTACGGAAAAAAAATCTCATTAAGATTTACGAGTCCTATCAACCCTACTATAGGTAAATTCTGATGAATGACATAAAAAAAAACTAAAACCAAAATCGGCCAAGTGCTTGTCACAATATGTGTACTTAGAATGGGCCTTCTTGATACTTTGAGCATATTAAGTGAGTTAAAATGGGTCTAATTAAGTGTAACTGAAGGGCTTATTTTCCAAGCAGATTTATAGCGAGTGGTATTCAAGAAAGATTAAAAATCGTTTCTATTTTGAAAGCAATACACCACCAAATTACTCACATGCCAAGTCCTTACGAAAATGGTCATGCAACTCTAATGGTGGCCACACACGGTCAGTTAAAGTCATCAGTCGAACTGATATCAGTTCGAACGGATTTAAGCCAAAGTAATTTCCACGCACACGGTCAATTCAATTGTATTTTTGATATATCGACAATTGTAAATATATCAATGTTGGAGTTCTATATATTGTAAGTTAATATACAGTAAGTCATATCGGAGTTTTATTAATCGAAAAAATATGGATATATCGCTTTTCTTTAAAAACAACCGTAAGTCATTTTAGTTTAGTTCATTTATTATATTTATTAAGCGAATTAAATTATAAATGTATGAAAATGTTAGATTATAGTTCCTATTAATTATTGTTTAATTTAAATAAGACGATTATGTGTACCAATATTTTTCCGTAAGAGTTTTCAAAAATATTCGTTGTTTTATTTATGTTCCGCTGTTAAATATGTTTAGAAGCACATGTGCTACAGGTGTAGCTGAAGAAATTAAATATTTAATAGCTATTTAGATAGAACGGGAGTTAACTGCTGGGTAGACACTTTACTACCGTTCACCCATCTTCTGAGTCAATCATAAGGAAGGTGACATCATCACAGTCACCTTAGTCTTCATCCGCTAATTCCACGTTCTGTAATCATAATAAAGTTTCAGTATGGCGATATCACGTGGATTATAAAATGAAACTCTTTATACTAAAAGAAAATAATTTTTGGACAAAGACGAATTCGAGTCTGTAACTAAATAAACTCAAATTCGAATAATAGATATATACATATCTATTTCGTAGAACCATAACTTAATAATTAATTTTGACATTTTTTTTTGCGCCCGAAGCAAATATGGGCAACCCTCCGGAAAACGAGGGAGGGAGGTGGGGAATGCTCATAGCATACCACGCAGCCGGCTGCGTGGTTATGTGGAGACTTTTACCCACTAAACCCCACCTTTTAGGGACTGGCTTAACGGTCTAACTAGAGATCTCTAAGCCGTATACGAACGCGACCCTCCTTGGCAGAAAGGAGGGCGCAAATTTTGACATTTGTGAACCCAATTGTATAGGAAGATTTTATTACAATTGGGTCCACTTGTATAGAAACCTTAGCTAATAAACTCGTTTCGGCTGCTTATGATTGTGCCGTTAGATAGATTCTCCAATACTTTGTTTTAATAAGTTAGTAATACAATTATAAAAGAGCTTTCAATTTTTTTTAATACACGCGCCGGTTTTTGATAGAATATTTTGTAAACAAATGTTTATTTTTTTTGTATTTTTATTGATATTATTAGTATATTTTTATTGATTTAAAACTGGATCAGAAATTTTATTTTATATTCGTCTAAATTATGTAAATCCAGTAATCAAGAAACCTAACTGCTTAAAAGTTTATCTACTGAAATGAGAAAAATTTAATAAATTATTTAAAATTTTATAACTTTAAAAACTAATTCAAAAAAAATAAGTAACGAATAAAATAGCAACTAATATGAATCTAACGACTTCCCTTACAATATTATGTAAAAATCCATCAAGCCTAGGTTACAGATAAAGTTTGGGTTACAGAGCGTACCAAAGGAGTATAATAAGTATGTATGTCTATACATACATATATTCTTATTATAAACACATTCACTTAAACATATTCGAAAAACATTTCCCTCCTTCTGGCTTCTAGGGCAGACGCGTAAAATACCTACGCAAAAACGCCTTGCGGCGATTGCGCCTCGGACACAGTAGCGCAGGTGTAGTGGAAGGCCGTGGAGGAAGGCGCGCCATGTGTTCTGGTGCGCCTTAGTTGAGAAGGAGAAAGGGGAGAGTAGTCCTCTTCCGAGGAGGCGCCGCCATGGGGCGGCCAGCGCTGGTAGGGCCGCAGATGTGTATGTGAAAGCGTTCCCGTGGCCCAACGCGCGCTATGCGATGGTTTTGTCGATGCGAGTCCGACATAAATAACATAACATCCTTGCCCCATGCCATCTAAAAAAAAGTTTGCTTTGAATGTTGGGTCGATTTGTTGGGTTGATTGATGGGTTGATTGTTGGGTCGATTGTTGGGTCGATTGTTGGGTCGATTGTTGGGTCGATTGTTGGTTCGATTGTTGGGTCGATTGTTGGGTCGATTGTTGGGTCGATTGTTGGGTGGATTGTTGGGTCGACTGATGGGTCGATTGATGGGTCGATTGTTTGGTCGATAGTTGGGTCGACTGTTGGGTCGACTGATGGGTCACTGATGGGTCGATTGTTTGGTCGATAGTTGGGTCGATTGTTGGGTCGATGGTTGGGTCGATTGTTGGGTTGATTGTTGGGTCGATTGTTGGGTCGATTGTTGGGTCGATTATTGGGTCGATTGTTGGGTCGATTGTTGGGTCGATTGTTGGGTCGATTGTTGGGTCGATTGTTGGGTCGATAGTTGGGTCGATTGTTGGGTCGATTGTTGGGTCGATTGTTGGGTCGATTGTTGGGTTGATTGTTGGGTCGATTGTTGGGTTCTCCACCGAATTTTTGTCACAGGGCCGTCCGGAGATACCTATTAGAGTCCGAATGTATGAAAAAGGTGATCATTCCCCACATCCATCTCCGACACA